TTGCTAATATATATTGTAATATATCTATATCACTAAAGCACTTCTGGATGGATGCAAACTACATTTCGTTGCCCTGTACCTGTGCATGTGCAATGACAATAACGTTGAATTCTATTCTATTCTATTCTATTCTAAGTTATTTAAAAAAGAGCTCTCAGCTCTTGCTCTTAAGTTGATCACATGAATTAGTGGTGACATGAATAATCTGAACTGTAACTTGGATCTGTGGATATATTCATGTCGATATTACACTGCTAACCATGTCTGGAGATGATTGTTGCTGATCTATAGAGCTAAACTGGCAAAACTGAGATAAAATGGCATGTGTCAAAACACAATAATATAATTTTATTATAATTTTCTAAGTTACATTTATACACTTTATTATTTACTTATTGCCCCAGGGCAGCTGTGGCTACAATGTAGCTTGCTATTGCCAGTGTGTGAATGTGTGTGTGAATGGGTGAATGACTGAATGTAGTGTAAAGCGCTTTGGGGTCCTATGGACTAGAAAAGCGCTATACAAATGCAGGCCATTTACCATTTACCACTGAGTTACTGATATGATTTTTCCTTTTGCTGTATTTGCTCTTAAATTCTGTTTCTGTGGTAAAATGTTTATTATTAATTTCTTCTTTTTGGACTCTTCAATATTTTTTGATTTTCTTTTAAGACAAAAAACCTCAAAAACAACAGTAAAAAATCTGGAATAAAGCTGTAAGAGCTGGAAAAAGGGTAACCTCTTATTCAAGAGGCTTTTTCAGTTTTGGAATACAAAAGGTTGAGAGACCCAGGTGTTTGACCTTAGCGGAGGTTGTCCCCTTTGGAGTTGGTCGATGACCTGATAGTGCGAGTCATTAAATGAGCCAAGGTGTGAAAAAACGCGTTGCTCATCACTATTACCCAGGCTTAAGGGTTGAAGCCACTGTGAGGCCTCCCCAGAGCTTATAATGTGGCCTATTCAACAGAAGATCAACAGAGCGAAAAGTGTGAATGTGAGGCTGAAATACCCAAGAAAGGTTCTCAAGATGTCTGATAGCTGGTCATGTAAGCCACCACTTCTGTGCAAAGATTGTCGTTCGCAGTGGACATAGATGGCCTCTTTTAGTCCTCTTTCAACCCTTTCAAGTCTTCTCAGGGCAAAATGTGAACATTGACATCCTTAAGAGTGCAGGTGTGCAGCTGAGTCTTGTCCTGTTGCATTGGCTCTATTTTGTGGAGTGTGTTTGGTTTCTCCTCTGTAGAGATCCATGCACTCCTCACTACACTAGCCACCTCACCGCTAGTTTTTTTTAAATCTATTTGGTTGGGTATAAAGTACACTGGGATAAAAGCGTTGGAGAAAATTCTCTAGATTTTCTCTGGCAAATCTTCAACACAAAACATGACAACATTGTTCCATTTGTCATTCTGTTTCACGCTAGCTAGTGCCATCTGAAATAGAGCATAAGCACAAAACAACTGCTCACAATAGGAACGGTTAACCCTCCATTCGCATCAAAAGACAGGAAAGTAGGAAATACAAATGAAATGATACATAGACTTCTTTTTCACACGACTGGAATAGCACAAAGTTCATATGTGAGCTGAGCTACATGACATAAAGGACACAGTGTAAACAACGTACAGATTCAAATACAAAACATATACATATAGTGGTGTCTGCCTTTGAAAACATACTTTTTAAATGAGAACTGAGAGCACCCTTTCTTCTTCTGCAGGAAGAGTAAGAGAGTAAGTAGCAGCCAGGCGCTGATAATCAAATGCACTTGGTTAGCTGATCATCAGCGTTGCCACCTTTTAAAGAAAGAGATATTTTGGCAGTTTGGAGGCTTCAGGTGTGTGTTTACATAATGCCACAATCAGAAGTGCACATTCACCCCAAGGTCAGACTGTGCAATGTTCACATAAACTGCAAAAAAAAACAAAACACAAACTACATCTCAGACTCTACAGACCTCAGTTAGCATGTTAAATGTTAAAGCTCTCTATACACCTTATATCATGGTGGCAGAGGGGTGATGATTTGGGACCTAGACACTTTGCAGTCGTTGAGTTGACTTAATGAGCTCCTTTAGATCCTAGAGTTGAATGTGAGGTGATTTTTTTCCGACGGCTAATGCTTGGTTGAAACTCGGTCACATGACAGCATAATGATCACAAACATGGAAGCAACTCTGCAAAAGAAGGGCTGAAAAAGACAAGGATGTGCTGCAATGGCCCAAAGTCCAGGCTCAACCCAACTGAAATGATACAACTGAACCTTCGAGTGAGCTGTGCATAAATCAATGCCCCCAAACTTCAATGAACGGAAGCAACGTTGTGAAAAAGAGTGGGCCAAAATTGCATCACAATGATGTGAGAGACTGATAGTCATACTGAAAACGATTACTTCCTTCTATTGCTCCAAGTTAATGAATCATGGGGTATGCTTCAATTTTCACAGGGGTTTATAGACTTCTTTGAAAACATTATTTTTCACACGACTGTAATAGGGCAAGGTTCAAATGTGAGATGAACCACATGACACTGTCTAATACAGTGTATTTTACCCAAATACCCCATTTATAAGTTGAACTTAGGTTGTGAATTGTTTGATATAAAGAGTTTTTCCATAAAAGCTGTATTACTGCTTAGCTAAACAGTGATCTGGATTAAAAGAACAATACCTGAGAAGGCCTTTCATCCTTTACAACCCATTTAACTGAACTCTATCCCTCTTTAAAAATGTAAGGCCTAGTGCTGAGTGATAGTCAGTGTGCAAACCTGAAAATTAAATTGAGTAACAATTCAAAGTTTGCTGGATGTAAAACACTGAAAAAACATTCACTGGTGAAGGCACACACAAGGGCACTTTCTCCACCAAGCACCAAGCAAGTCTCACATTTGCTGACAGTCACTTTTGAAGTCAAAGGGACTTATCTCAAAATTTATTTCCATCTCTGTTTCATTCAGAGGCTGTAGCAGCAGCTTCATCTCATGGACTTCAAACAGAGAAAATAAAAGTGACTGATCAGCTGCAGTGGCTGAGTCCTATAAGCTTGCATTTACAGACACCTTCAGTAATGCATTCACACAATCTGTGAGTATCTGGGTAAAGGAAATAAAGGAGTTTCCATCAAGAAGAAACAATATTGTTGTAACATAGAAAGCTGTTTCCATTGACCCCTACAGTAAGAGGTGATGAATCTAGTAGTGCGCACACATATACAGACGACAGCAAAAGAACAAGGTTCTTCTCTCTTTCTGTCTCACAGCATCCAAGCACACAGCACCCTCATTTTTACCCATCTCTCTCCCAGACACACATAAGTACACAAAAAAGAAATGAGCTAACGTAAACAAGCACGCGCACACTCATGGATGCGCACAGTCCTATCCTGCCTTATTTTTAGCTGTTCCCCTACCCAGCCCTGACCTACATCACAGCATGAATAAAGCAGCAGAGAGATGAAGAAAGTGAGCTCATATTGGGAAGGGAAAGGGTGGAGGTGGGGTGTGGTGTCTGGGGCAGAGAGATGGGGGTGTGGGGAGGGAGAAGAGAGGCAAAGAGAAACACACACACACATACACTCTGGCAAAAAACGAACAGAAAAACGAACCGCTTCTCCTCCATCCCCCCGCTGTGAAATGACAGTTTCAGTTCTGTCAGCAGACCTCACCTGCAACAATGCTCCCAGAGGAGGCAGCAGAGGGCAAATACACACACAGACTTTTCCAAACACAGGGGATGCAGGGCCTTAAAACAACAGAAAAGTCTTGCCTCAGGCTTGACACCAGAGGGTCGTCGTGCTTTAAGCGAAAGCGAAACAAAAGCAGCGAGTGCTCGACTTTGAGTTATTGAGTCTCCGTGTCGGCTGTCATCAACCTTTGAACAACAGTTTGGCACCTTTTGCCAATAAAGGTTAATCAAATGAGTAAGCTTTTTAGGCGGAGCAGTGCTTCAGGACAAGATGAAAATTAGATTTGGGTGCTGTCGCTCAAATAAGTTCCATGTTTTTGATGCAGGAGATCAATGCTTTTTTTAACACCGAAGGCCGGCGAGCCTTTATATGCCTGAATACATGATCGGCCTCTCTTTGTGGAATTTAACACTCCTACTGTGCACTCTCCAAGGATGAAACTCACCGAGAAAAAAACCTTATGGGTGTTGCATGTAAGGCAATTACATACTTCATACGCATTCATTCTATTGTAAGGGGAAAGAGTGAGCTGAACACCTCGAGGCTGGAATGTATTTATCCAAGGAGAGGATATGGAAATGCTGTCCTCACGCTCTCCTTCCCTTAAGTGGTGGAAAGGCCTGTTAGCCTCGGGAAACCGGTTCTCTTCTGCTCACATCCGCATAAATACTCGGCACTGTACAAACGCACGCGCGCAAATTTAGGGCTCCCTTCTGCATAACGCCTCCCTTGTGTGTTTCCAATCCCATTTCATCAGCAGTCATCCAGCTCTGCTAATGCTTCCCCGAGCTCCATGTTTTAGTGCTCATACGATGTCTTTCAAGCTACATTAGGAGGAGAGAGCCTGTGTGTGTGAAGAGAAGACGTAATATATCATGATATTAGCTCCACATAATAGATGTCAGCAAAGATGCTGTACTCCCTGCTCTCCTCTGTCCTCTTCAGTTGATATGTCCTTATCTCATCAGCCTTTTCCTTTCCTTTCTCCTCCTTGTTGAGATTGCTTCTGGTGTGCTCGATTCACAGTCAGTTGTCATGCTCTCTCTCTCTCCATTGTACTGGGCATGACCGTTCCATTTAAACCATACAAGCAGTACTTAAATTTAAGCGTCTTTGTTTGTCTGAGGTTTTTCGGTGGGTGCAGTTTTGGTTGTGCAAAACTCTAATTAATAACTTGTGCATCAAGATGGGGCTCAGACACCTTTCCTTTGGGAGGTGATTAAAAGCAATTTACTTGTTAGTTCCAAAGGAGTAGGTGTGTCTTTAAAGAAGCCTAAAGAATTATTAACCCACTGCATATTCTCTCTTTGTCCTCAGATATTGATGAGTGCGCGACGCAGATGCACTACTGCCAGTCCAACACGGTGTGCGTCAACCTGCCCGGCAGCCATCGCTGTGACTGTCTACCAGGATTCACCAGAGTGGACGAGTACTCTTGCACTGGTGCGTCTGCATGCATGGAAATATGTCACTGACTCACATTAAGGACTGTCATCAAAACTGACCAGTAGTGTACCGGTGTTTAATGACTTCATAATTTCTGAGTTATAAGGAAAGTTTTTTGTTTTAGAAATTAAAGCATCTTTGCAATTGACTTGTTGAGCACGGATCAAACAAGAGTTATCCAGGGTGTAATGTGCGATGGCAGTGGAGCTAGCTGACAGTTTTCCTTTGGCTTGTGAGATAAAAGAAAAAAAATCACCTGACCTGTAGCAAATAGCAAGTTGTAAGTGGTTATGACTACTTTCTTTCATTTATTGCAGTCTTGCCAATGGGATCTGTGGCAATGTTGTGTGGTCTGTTGGCTTTGTTAATTGAAAATTTGGATAGATTGCCCTAAAGGTTTGCACAGGGATTCTAAGTAACCAGAGGATGGAGCCAGGAAATTCCCCTAATCATGCAACTTTCTCTTAGCACCACAAGCAGGCAGCCATTTTGGTTTACAGTGTCAGCAACTTATGGATAACTGATCATCCTGATAGTATTCAGTGCAGTTCTTTACGACCAGATATATGCAAATATATATCTCTCAAGATACGCCTTACTTTCAGTCTTAACTAGATATTGTATTTAATGCAAATCCGTATGTATGCTAATACACTCACTGCTAATCATTTTCACCCACCCCAGTACCTACCCCTGGCTGTAATACTGGCTGACTTGTGGTATGCTAGGTTTACCTAATGAGTAGAGTCCCATACACTCCTGTGCTAAAATGCACCATTATAAAAAGCATGTTTACAGCCCAGTACAGACTATCCTCTGTGGATAGTTTCCCAGTTTATAACAACAACAGTGGGGATGTTTAGTTGTTTTGTTTTGTTTTTCTAATTCATCCATAAATTCCTCACCATCTAGTTGGATGTCACTTTGATTGGCAGATGTCCCGACACAGACAGCTGAGTGTTGCCTGCTAGGCCTCACCTCTGGTAATTGGACTCACTGAACTGCATCTATTCTGTGTCTGTGCTGCGTGTTCCTTTCTGGGAAGTTAAATTATATGACAAATAATATGACCTGCTGTTTAATTTGGCCAATCCCAAAAAGTGATGGAAATTCTGGCATTTAACTAGCATGTTACTCTGGACTAAGAATAATCCTTTAATCCTTTAATTGTCCCACAAGGGGAAATTTGGTTGTAACAGCAGCCAAAAAGACACATATACAAACAAAGCGTACACAGGACACAGAACAGAAACATACACAATTTTTGTTACATATTTACATTAAGGACAATGGTTACTATATACAGAGTACTGTACAGTTATTAAATTAAATAAAAATAACTACAGATAAGAGGCAAACCAGGTTGTAGTGCGAATCGGTTAATTAACTTATTGCAGTTACAGCGCAGATGTAAACATCTATGTTTGTTGGGAGCAGTTCTGATTGTACAGTTTGACAGCTGCAGGGAAGAAGGACCTGCGGAAACGCTCCTTCGTGCATCTAGAATGCAGCAGTCTGTCACTGAAGGAGCTCTGCAGTTCAGCAACATCTACATGCATGGGGTGGGAGACTGTGTCCATCAGAGATGTTATTTTGGCCAGAGTCCTTCTGTCTCCCACCACCTGCAATGGGTCCAGGGCTCTATTTGGAAGCAGCACGTCTCGTCTCTCTATATACTGGACTGTAGCGGAGATGACAATAAAGTTTACTTTGACTTCAGCAGCAAGCAGGCGCGCCGAGGGCTCTCACGCTCACTTTTCGTGTATAGAATTTCAAAAATACATCGGTGCAAATTATAAGTCTGTATTATAATGTCTCGTGTTTTCGTGTTTGTTGGTTTGTTTTTATTTTGTTTTGCTTTGCTTTGCGAGTTGGTTATTAGATGCTGCTCCAGCCGATCAGAGAATCCCCCGCCGCCCCGCCCTCTCCTCTCTGCGCCGCAAGCAGCAGGCGCACCTCGCAAACGAAGGGCGCCCTTACTCCCAGCAAATGGGCAATAGAAAACCGATCGGAGCCTATGCCATTCCTAATATGCGCTGGCTGACGTTGGGGCAGCATAAGTACGAGCATTTTTGTTTTGTTTTGCCGATGCCCGTGATGCCACCCCCCACCACGATGCCGCCCCGGGCAACCGCCCATGTCGCCCGTATCTAAAACTGCTACTGGCCACCACAGAGTCATGGAAGGTCTTTAAAAGTGCTCCCTGGACTCCAAATGACCTCAGCCGCCTCAGTAGGTAGAGTCTGCTCTGGCCCTTCCTGTACAGAGTATCAGTGTTGTGGCTCCAGTCTAGCTTATTATTCAGGTGAACACCCAGGTACCTATAAGAGTCCACTATCTCAATGTCCACTCCATGGATGTTCACCGGTGTCAGTGTGGTGGGTCTGCGTCTCCGGAGGTCCACCATCAACTTCGTTTTCCCGGCGTTGATCAGCAGGTGGTTCTGCTGACACCAGTCAACAAAGTCCAGAGTCCACTGTCTGTACTCTGAGTCGTCCTCACCTGTGATGAGGCCGACTATGGCAGAGTCGTCAGAGAACTTCTGTAGGTGGCAGCGTGGGGAGTTGATGGAGAAGTCTGCAGTGTAGAGGGTGAAGAGGAACGGTGCCAGCATAGTTCCCTGTGGGGCCCCCGTACTGCAGACCAGCGTATCAGAGACACAGCCCTGTGACCTCATATACTGTTTTCTGTGAGGTAGTCCAGTATCCACTGGGACATGGGGTGGTCCACTCCCGATAGCTCCAGCTTGTCTCTCAGAAGTTGTGGCTGGATGGTGTTGAAAGCACTAGAGAAAAGAACATGATCCTCACAGTGCTTCCAGGCTTCTCCAGATGAGTCAGAGCTCGGTGAAGGAGGTAGATGATGGCGTCCTCCACCCCAATGCCAGGCTGGTAAGCAAACTGCAGTGGATCCAATGAAGACCTCACCAGGGGGCGCAGATGGTTTAGAACCAACCTCTCGAGGGTCTTCATCAGATGCGATGTCAGGGCTACCGGCCTGTAGCTGCTGAGGTCCTTGGGATGGGAGGTCTTTGGTACCGGTACCACACAGGAGGTCTTCCACAGCTTCCACTAAATAACCAATATGAGTGTGTCATTGGAACCATGCAGAATGCCGCTTACAAACCAAGCTTGTTAGTATTAGCTGATAATTTAGAAATCCACCTGTTCATCTAAATTTCATGCCTCAGGATCCAAAAGACTAACGTGGTGGTGAGATTAATGCTGAGGCTTCACATTGTCAAGTTAAAAAAAATGGGTCGCTGTCACAGTCTATATTTAGTATATAGACTATGGTTAAAATACATACCATATTTCAAGGGGTTTATGCTGCCAATCTGGATATTGAACTAAGCAGCTAGCTGTCTGATCTGCTGTTTCACCACCTTTTCAGGTCTGTCTGCTGCAAAGATACAGTAAAGAGCAACACACAAAAATAAATGACGGTGACTCAGACTGTACTCGTGACTCTGTAACATCTGTTGAATTTAGTTCTCCCGGAAAGAGATCCACGAATTAAAATGTCCCAGATTATTCATATAATGTTATTTTATGCATAACGGTAAAAAGGTTAAAGCTTCTTTCCTAACCATAAACAGAAAAATCATGAAATCATGAAATATAAATCTACAACAGATAATAACTATAATTGTATTACTTTATTTTATAGTTTTATTTGTAAAGCACTTTTCAAAACAGAGTTCAGTGCTTCACAGTTCAAATAAAAGCCACACATTTAAGATATGTGTATATGTTCAAACATACAGGCACATAAACAGACACATAATCAGCCATGCTGGCAGACACGAATTCCAACAAGTTGTTGCAAACTATGGCCAAAAATGAAGGGGGGGAGATTAAGGAAATGCTAACCTATAAAAATGAGTTTTCTGCTGTCATTTAAAAGAAATAACAGAGTGAGCCAAACCGATTCACTGAGGAAAGCTGTTCCGCAGTTTGGGCGCAACAACCTCAAAAGCATGATCTCTGGTTTTAAAATCAAAGCGAATGACATTTAGGAGACACTGTTTAGACGATGGGAAAGGCCGGCTACACTGAAAAGGTCTTAGAATCTCTGTTATATAAGCAGGGGACTGTCCGTGTAGAGCTTTATATGTTAATATCAGAATTTTAAAGTGGATCCTAAATTTCACTGCAAGCCAGTGAAGGATTGCAAGGATAGGTATAATATGTGACCGCCTGCTAGTTTTTGTTAGTGCAGAATGCAGCAGCAAGGCTGCTAATTGGAGATGAGCTATGGAGGACTGAGAGACACACGTGAAAATTGAATTATTATAATCAAGGAGAAAATTAAAGTGTGAACAAAAAGTTCAAGGTGATTGAATGACAGTAAAGGTTTGATTTTTACAATATTTCTGAGATGAAGGAAACAAGACTGTGTGACCTTTGGTTTTCAAAATTCAGGTGTTGGTCAAAGATGATGCCAAGGTTTTTAACAGATACCAAGGTTCATGTTATTGGTCAGGGGAGTGATGATTACATCACTAACCTCAGAGAAATTGTCTGGGCCAAGCACTAGAACCTCAGTTTAACAGGAATTGAGATGAATGCATTTTGAATACATTCTTTGAGGCAGGAGAGGCTGCCAAACTATAAATGTTTATCATCTGCATAGGTAGGAGATTCCATAGGTGCATATAAAGAAAACGGAATTGGTCCAAGGACTGAGCCCTGGGGGACTCCACATACTAGCAGTGCAGATGAGGACATACGCTGATTAATATGAATTCTGAAGTGTCTGTTTGATAAGTAGAAGAAAATCATTTGTGAGCACTACCAGTGATGCCAACCCAGTTTTGTTTGTTAATACAAGTAGCATGATCATTAGTATCGAAGGCTGCAGATAAGTCAAGCAGGACTAAAATGGAATGGTCTGTAGCTGTCAGGTAAATATATATAATGAAAAGGACAATGTCCATCTACCAGTTGGACATGGACATTGACACAGCTCGATTTCTCTCTCTCCTAGTCAAGGCG